TCTGTAGCAATCTTTGTGCTATACTCTGTGGTAGCAATCTTTGTGCTATACTCTGTAGCAATCTTTGTGCTATACTCTGTGGTAGCAATCTTTGTGCTATACTCTGTAGCAATCTTTGTGCTATACTCTGTGGTAGCAATCTTTGTGCTGTACTCTGTGGTAGCAGTCTTTGTGCTATACTCTATAGCAATCTTTGTGCTGTACTCCGTGGTAGCAATCTTTGTGCTGTACTCTGTGGTAGCAATCTTTGTGCTGTACTCTGTGGTAGCAATCTTTGTGCTGTACTCTGTGGTAGCAATCTTTGTGCTGTACTCTGTAGCAATCTTTGTTCTATACTCTATAGCAATCTTTGTGCTATACTCTGTGGTAGCAATCTTTGTGCTTTACTCTATAGCAATCCTTGCAGTGGATTCTTCTGTGTTTTTGGATTATCAATCAGTTTTTAGTGGTGGCTTTTATGTTACTTTACAAACCTGTAGGTAGGTGGTGGTTAAGGCCGGTCTCACCGTCCCTCATTTCTTCTTGTGTGTCCTCCTGTCCGACTTTTTCCTCCCATTATGTGGCTGTTATGATATTGAAGTGTTTCTCTTATCTCTAACAAAGTCCAACCAATGTTTTCAGGGAACGTATTGATGAGATTGAGAGCCTGTGGGCCACGCTGCAAGCTCAGACAGAAAAGAAAGGTGAGAAAGTGTTTTGATTGTTGTAGGGAAGGTTCAGATTGTTGTAGGGAAGTGTAGGGAAGGTTCTGATTGTTGTCGGGAAGGTTCTGAATGTTGTAGGGAAGTGTAGGGAAGGTTCTGATTGTTGTCGGGAAGGTTCTGATTGTTGTAGGGAAGGTTCTGATTATTGTAGGGAAGTGTAGGGAAGGTTCTGATTGTTGTAGGGAAGTCGGGAAGGTTCTGATTGTTGTAGGCTTAGACACATGACTAGTACATGACGGTAGCCTTTCTCATATAAATGTGAAATGGGACAAGCAAAACAATAGATCAAAACAGACATAAGGAAAGGTAAAATAGTGACTTCTGTCGTCCCCCCCGCCCCCCGTGTATTCAAATCACCTGTCACTCTTCCCCACTCTTTGTTTTTAACTTTTCAAATGGGTGATGAGTATGGATGTGGGTTAACTGTTACGTTTTGTCCGTACATTCGTGTGTGACGTGTATGTATGTGTGTTGACTGTTGAATCTTGTGTGTAGGTTTAGGTGTGACGTGTATGTGTGTGGGTTGACTGTTATGTCTTGTCTGTACATTCATGTGTGACGTGAATGTATGTGGGTTGACTGTTACGTCTTGTGTGTACGTTGGTGTGTGACGTGTATGTATGTGTGTTGACTGTTGAATCTTGTGTGTAGGTTTAGGTGTGACGTGTATGTGTGTGGGTTGACTGTTATGTCTTGTCTGTACATTCATGTGTGACGTGAATGTATGTGGGTTGACTGTTACGTCTTGTGTGTACGTTGGTGTGTGACGTGTATGTATGTGTGTTGACTGTTGAATCTTGTGTGTA